TAGTTATCTAGTGCTGCTATAACAAATAACCACAAAGGGATGACTTTAACAAAAATATGTTTTCTCATGGTTTTGGGGGTAGAAGTCAGAATTCAGAGCATTGGCTCAAGGAGAACTTTCTCTTGTTGACTCTGGAGAAAGGTCCTTGTCTCTTCAGCTTCTACTTCCTGGTTCCTTGGCGATCTCCATGTGTCGTGGCATCTGTTTTACCCTATGCTGGTTTATCTCTTCTGCTGGTTTATTTAATCTCTTTTATATCTCAAAAGTAATTGATCAGGGTACACCATATATTAATCCTGCCTTATGATCATAACAAAGACAACCCATTCCCTAATGGGATTACAACCACAGTCATAGAGGTTAGGATCTATAACATATCTTGAGGGGATATATTCAATCCCTAACACAAGCCCTCCAGGTGATTCTGATACGCATGTCTGAGAACCAATATTGTAGAACTTAATGCCTAATTCCCATTAAGAAAAACACATAAAGTACATTTAGAGAAATGGATAAGACTTGAATAGGCACTTTACAAAAGAGCCAGTAACTGGAAAAGTCCTCATTACTTACCAAACCATTGCTGGTTAATCATTTCAATTTAGTGTTGTGCTTAAGGCACTTGACTGGTAACCAGAAGGCTGGCAGTTCAAACCCACCAGCCACTCCTTGGAAGGAAGATGGGGCAATCTACTTCCATAGTGATACCACCTTGGAAACCCAAGGAGGGGTCACTATGAGTCGGGTTCAATTCGAAGGCACATAGCAACAACAACAACAAAATGAGACAGAATAGAACTGCTCTATAGGGTTTCCAAGGCTGTAAATCTTTGCAGAAGCAGACTGCTGCATCTTTCTCCCATGGAGTGGCTGGTGGGTTTAAACCACTGACCTTTTGGTTAGTAGCCAAAAATCAATGGGATACCACAAAAAACCACTAAAATGTCAAAAAATTAAAAGATTGCAAATAGCAATCAAGTGCCAGTGGAGCAACAGGAACTCGGGCACTGCTGGTCTGAGTGTGTCTTGGCAAAACTACTTAGGAGAACACTTTGGCAGCATTTACTGAACTTACATATATGTACACCCGGTGATCCGTTAACTCTACTCCAAACGTGTACACTTGTGGACCAAGAGATGTGTTCAAGGATGCTCCTAGAAATACAATTCCTAATAGCTAAAACTGGAAATAATCCAAATGCATTTCAATAGAAGGAAAAAGAACTGTGATGTGATGGAATACTCTACAGCAGTGAAAGTGATTAAGCTCCATGAAATGACTCTCAAAAACATAAATTGATCTAAGGAAGCCTAACCCAAAAGAAGACTTCATGCTTTCACTATGGACTATTCCAAACTAGCTAGGACTAAACTATAGTGTTAAAAGTCAGAATTTATGAGAGGTGGAAGTTTTTGGTACTTGGGAGTTGTTTTGGTTCTCTCCTGCTGCTCTAACAGAAAATACCCAAATGGATGACTTTAACAAACAAGGATTTATTCTCTTACAGTTTGGAGGCTTTAAGTCCAAGTTCAAAGTGCCAGCTTTAGGGGCTGGGCAAAGGCCCCTCAACCTTGCACTTCAGCTCTGCTTCTTGATCCTGGCTCACTGGAGCTAGAGGCTTCTCCTGACTCAGGTAGCTGCTGGCTGCTGAAGCTGACAAACCCAAGGTCAACCAATAAAATGGCACAGTCCCAAGACTAGCAAACAGCATTCCAGGCCACTGAGATGAAGACTCAGCCAAATGCATGATCCTGATGTGCCAAAACTTCAAAACCTTTCTCAAAGTGTCTTCTTATGCATTGGAAGCAGACCACTTTCCCTAAGGCGGCTCACAGCAGAGTCCACCATGAAGTCGATTACCAGTCTCATCGTGGTTAGTAGTAACTACATACAGCTGCCCAGCCACTCAAAACCAGGCCCAGCCAAGTTGACACATAACCTTAACAACCACAGGAGTGGTACAAGAAAAACTTTTGGGATGCTTAAAATGTTCTGTTTCTTTACTGGTTGGTGGTTTTATCAGTATTCATTGGGTTCTTCATTTGACTTGGTCACTTTTGTGTATCATACTTCATGAGTTAGCACAATAAAAAACAATGGCATACTTAAGAAGTGAAAGTTGGTCCCATCCTTGTTTTTCTTATAGAATCTCAAAATTTGGTAAGTGCCTCAATCTTCTAAAAGGGAATAATCTGCATCTGGGAAATTATTTCTTAAGAGGCTGTTTGAAAATTATCTTGCGGCCCATAGCAAAAATTACAGCCTTATTCGAAACTCTTGGTATGTGAGAGGCCAAAAGTCTATTTTCTCTAACCAATTAATTAATCTACTTCCCAACTCCAGTATAAGTAGGGAACTATACAAGCTTTTCTTGCATTAATCAATATAAGGAGTTTGACTATGGATATATTTGAAGCCCCT